GCATCCATAAGAACTCAAATAAACCGAATGGAGTCGTTATAGCAGTCTTGGGGACATCAGCTGGATGTATAGGGATCTGATGATATTCTCTTTTCAGATCTAAAATAGTGGAGCAATAAAGTGTGGATCTAAAATCCTGAATATGATAGATGAGATACTTGTCTGGAATAGTGACACGGTTGAGTTGACAGTAATCTCCACATGGTCTCCAATCACCTTGTGTGGGTTTGGGAACTAAGTGTAAGGCGGAAGACCAGCAGCTTGAGGAGGGCTGTATAATTCGAAGCTCTAGCATGCATTCAAATTTAGCACGGCTACCTTCAAACGATCAGGCGCTAAACGCCAAGTACGTGCAGAAGTAGGATGGCCTGTAGTTTTGATTTGATGTACGACATTATGCTTCACAGGAACTAAAGTATTCTTCAGTTGTAGTAATTCTGGGTACCCTAAAAGGAGAGGATTAGAAGAAGGAGAGGGTTAAGAGTAGTGAGAACGTCTGTATTTTGGTGTGTGTAAATCATATTAGTCTTTAGTGTTGTATTAGCATCTATGAGATTTTTACTACGAACATCGACCAGTAAACCATAGTGTTGGAGGAAGTCCACACCTAAAATGGAATGCTTAATGTCTGCTATAATAAATATCCATCGAAATGGACGACAAAGTCCTCAATTAAGAGTTAGTTAAAGGGTCCCATAAGTAGAAATTTGACTACCATTAGCTGCTTGAAGAGATTAACTAGCTGGTCCTCTCTGTCTGTCAAGTTTAGTAGGAGAAATAGTACTAACTTCAGCTCCCGTATCCACCAAGTACCTGAGATGAGAAAATATTTCCAACACAAAAAAGTGGCAACTAGTACTTTGGTGGAAGGCGTCAGTCGCCATCGACGATCGGCCTGTACATTTCCCTGAGACCAAGAGCAAGGTTTGGTGCACTCTTTAGCCTTCTCAGCAAATCAGGCATGGTAATTGGTATTATCATTAGGTAGTGGGTCTATCAGTTGGAGCTGGGCTGGAAGTACGGCGTCTAAAAGAACAAGGGTGCCTTGTATCAGTGAGGGACGTCACCAGCTTCTTGAGTGTAGCAATATCACTATGTACCTGTTCTACCTCAGTAGAGAGTTCTGTGGTTTGTACTGCATTAACAGCAGGTGAGGCTACTTCCACCACCTTGTCAGCCAAAAAAGCCAGAGACTCGAGATCCTCATCATCCTTACTAGAGGCGAGAACCATGCGTACGTTTGGAGGCAAGCGCTGGAGGAATAACTGGCGAAGTAAAGACTGATCAAAAGTAGCAACTTTGCCACCCAGCAACTGTTGCATATGTCGTAAAAGTTGAAAGCGTGTCCTGTCTCCTAAATCCTCCGCATTAAAGAGTAACTGAAGACGGCGTTGTTCAGAGGAAGTAGTCCTCTTATTTAATTCCACCTTAAGTCTATCATAAGGGTCGGCATCTGGAGGCTTGAGAATGAGGTCTCGTACTTCGGCAGCGTACTGGGGATCAAAGGTAGCTATAATGTATTCGAATTTGGTCACCTATGAAGTAATACGTTTAGTACAGAACTGTGCGTTGACCTGCGCGAACCATAGTTCAGGATCCGCTGGCCATAACGTAGGTAGCTTGAGAGAGACGGTCACCAAGGTGAGGTCTGAAACTGGTGAAGGAGAGCCTTGGTGCGACATAACTAAAGAAAAGAACGTTTGGGTCACCAATGTTAAGAGTGAAGATCTCAACGAATATATTTTATAATGGAAATGTTATCACAGTTAAAGATCAAGAGGGATAGAGAATAGAGAAGACTAAAGGACAATCAAAATTCATGAACACATGTGTCTCTGATGCACATGCGCATAAGCACATGGCATCTACTGCAGGTGCAAACAAGAGAGTATATAATGCTTGAAATTTACAATTTGATCTCTCTTGTACATTGTGACACTGAGCATTAACAAGACTCGTGTTCAACTGAATCAAGTTTGATTTCGCAACTAATGCAGCCACAACGAATTACAATACTGAGTTCCTATGATCCTGGAATCATTGATGACATCAGTAATATCCTCATCCTTAATCTCAAAATGTGGTCATCATCTTTTTTTGGTCTTAGAGTGAATGAACTGTTCCCTCTTAGTGTCAGAGTTTTCTCATCCCTGAATGTTCAAACAGACATGTTCGTAAAGTCATACGACGAGTATTCCTCAACATTTTTCTCCCAACAGCATAGCTTGATGCTTCCTGTTTGATCTGCAACGATGACTTCTTGTATGCATCCTGTTTCTGCTACCCTAGCATGAGCTACATCTATAACTTTACAGCCAAGATTGACCAACACACCATCTGCTGCATCCAATATTTCTGATATGCTCAATTTTTTGGCTTCCTCTTGAACAAGAACATCTATTTTCCTGGGGGAAGGCTCAATGTCAGGTAGTAGGCCTCACAATGACCTGCAGAGCATTGTCATAATTACTCTTTTTATCTTTGCAGTTGGTAAGATGGACTCGACTCTTAGCTGCACTAATGGCAGATAACTTTGATCGACTTTTAGAGTCGAATACTGCAATCCTCAAGGAGCTTCCTCCATGAGTCACTTTCCTGTGATAGAACTCCCTTCCTGTATTGACCTTCTCTATGGGAGACAAGAACTCAATTGCAGCTTCATGAAACTCAGCATTACAGCCCTCTTATTAGATATCAGAAAAGCTTTTTAAAAGTCAGTTGTTTTCTTGACATCACGCTAAATTCAGCACCAACACAGAATAAAAAACTTAGAACTATAGCAAGAAGTAAGCAATCATTCCCCTTTTATACTGTTTTGCGTCTATAATGAATAGTAACAAATGACGTCAGGTTTACTTCTGCTGGGTTTCTTTAAGTCCGCAGAACTGAAAAAAGCAATCATAACTGCTGAGTGGATATAAAGCTTGCAGAAGCTCATCATGATGTAATACAATTCAGCAATTCTATGTGTACACTTGGGATCTTACATTGTCACTCAAGCTAAAGTTAGTAACACTTACATCATACTTATGTCATTCAAATGAACAACAGAAGCAAATAAAAGAATTAATAGATCAAATGTAACATGCATGATCTAAAGTTTAAAACTGTCTAGAAGTATGGCTACTTTGGGAGACAGCTCTGAAAAGATAACTCATGAAATGTTGACTGATGGATATATTTTGATAGTAAAATTGATAGTGTTAAACAATTATAATCAATCATTTCAGTCGCAATATGATGACTGTTCCATAAAGGGAACAAAACAGGTTTTAAGACATAAAGTTTAATTATGCTGGTATCATGTTGCTACAATGCATGTAAGTTATGTTACTAAAATTGCAATAGCAGTATACCGTATACTAAACGTTAAAAAAGGACGTGAATCTATTCTTAGTAAAGGGACAAAATGTTTAATCAAAGATTGTAAGAATGAGTGGAAGGACGAACATGTATTATGTCACATGCATGCCAGAATGCGTAAAATAATTAATTCAACCAAAAGGAAGATTGTTACAGTCACTGGAGCATTCCAAATTAGTAGGTGGTCAAAAAATTTGTGTAGCATATTGACAGCTCGAGATTTCGGTTGTAGTTTGTTACTCGTTCTCTCTTTCTTCTAGCCATCAACCATCAAAAATCCAGTGACCATTCTAGCTATGGTGTGCTTTCCCTGTTAGCGCTCTGAGAAAAAGGTAGACGATTGAGCGCTTGAAAAGCAGACTGTATGTTTTCCTTCTATTTCTACTTGCTAGGATATAGTGGAAAAGAATAGACAAAACATTTAAAACAGTTTCTTACATTCTTTCTGAAAAGATTATATTTAACATGATAACTATTGTCAAGATATTTGCGGGTGAAGAATGTTTTGAATGATCCCTCAACATCATAAAAGATTTGATGATATGTCAGATATTTTGTCTTCATTCCTTACGGCACTGTACATCACTTGTGGTAAGAGTTTGAGTCTACACTACCTTTATAGTGTAGCATAGTGTTCTTTCCTGCTATAGTTGTATAGCTTGACGTGTTAGAAGTGTCTAATTTCATATAGAAAAATGAGTATTGTGTACTTAACTAAGTAGTGGAGCATAGTGTCCTTTACTGTTATACAGATGTATAACTTGATGTGTTAGGAGTATTATATAGGCTGTAGCCTATATGTAGGGTTGAGGTTGATTTTTCAAAATGGCAGCCAAATTTATCATTTTAAAACACTTCTAACTCTTTTATCTTGCCATATAAAACCTCATAAATGGCTTATCTGAGCTCGCCTTCACTGAGCGATTCTCCTGGTACCTTTAAAGTGGACTGCAATGTAGCGGGAGCAATTCTAGAGAAGGTTTGATGTGATTAACAATAAAGTTTGTTCACCATTACTGTTCGTGCTATTGTTATTATTAGCCTGTGAGTTTACATTGCTTACTTTTGATGTGTTTCTATTACTATGCTTTACAGGTAATTACAGCTGGGAATGATTTGCTGATTCAGCAATGCCTTTGCTTCAAATTGTAATGTGCAATATAATGAAAGGCAATTCTGTATTTAGATTGTTGTAACTAAATTAATTTATTTATTAAATGTAACTTAATGTTTTGTTGCAGTTCCTTGATTAGTAGTTGTATCACACGGTAGGAGGTGCCAGTTTACATATGTATAGGTTTTATATTACTGTATATAGTCTTAGCAATGGAATATGTAGTAAGATGGAGATTATTGTGAGATGTCTTATGTATTTTGGTATAGGTTATGATTCTAGGTTACATACTTTATATTTGTTTGATGATTATATCATTAATTATGGCTACAGTAAGTACTTTCTTTACTCAATATAAATGAATGCTTGCCAATGCATCTTTGTG